CTTTGCAAATAAATCCGGCCGGTTTGTGAAGACCTTGTCCAAATACGCATCACCCCTTGTGGGAAAACCCACAAGAGAGTCCCATCCTGTCATTACAATAAGCTCATTAGTGTCAAGCCGATTCACATCGCCCCCCGCAACAATAGTCCAACCAGGATGCTGATCTAGTGCATTGTCCATTAAGTGGGTTAAGTATCGTAAAAAATCCGCCGGTTCGTCTGTAGGTTTAGGCAACAAGTAAAATTAAACAAAGAAATTGGTTCGATTTTCCCCGAATTGTGCGTTCGCTGTCTGACGCGATTTGAGGCCTATTAATAGAGAGATTTAGCACCGCGTTAACATGAAACACAAAACTTTGGCTTGCCCTTTCGCGTTTCCCATAAAATAGTGTGTACCTTGCTGCTTTAGCTTCGCGTCAGCTCACCTCATGATGGATTTGAAGTTGCCCTTCTAGGACTTATAAAGAATAGTTTTGTTTTGGTGCCCTTTTTCCGGCAATTAACTTCTACTCAGAGAGAGAAAAAGTGAAGTAAACCTTACGTACACTGCAAAGGCGAAACCGGTTACTTTCACGTAGAAACGGCAAAGCGCAACAGGCAAACGAGAAAAGTGGCGGGAAAAACAAGGTCACATGGTCACTCGTGCCGTTCACGTTTCACGTAAACGTGGAGCTACATGACACATGAAATCACTAGCCAAAAAGGAAGAGCGGTCAGTCTTGTGGAAGCATTGTAAAGAGAAACACTATAGTAGAACGGAGAAATTCGAGATGAACGTTACCGGGTCTTACTCCAACGACGCCATGCTGAGGCAAATATCTGAGTATGTTCGGATAGACAAAGTACCAGAAGGTTCATTGATGAACTCTAAGAGCGAATTTTCTAGCTGTTTTTCTTCGTTGGATTCATCTAATAAACTTGGATGTATATTTTCCAGCCATTCTGACTCTTCGTCGTCGGAAATATGATTAAAATTGTCCGCCTTTTTTTTTCGTAACTACAATTCAACTCTTCGCTTGGCGATACGAGAAAACCTGTTTACCCGGGTACTCTAGAGTACAAATACCGCGTGATATTTGTACGCGTCTATGGCGTTATTTGTACTCTACGAAGTGTAGTTTGATAATAAAGTTCAAGATTCTTAAAGCACTATTATTTTACTGTTATAGTTTCTATACGTGCGTCGAATGTGATACTCGAGACGTGATGTCTTATTCTGCAAGTAGTTCAAGCAGAGCTAAATCTTTCTAATATTTATGCGAAATCGCACCATCACTTGTTATTGGAAGTCGTGTACATTACAGCATTTGGAAGGGAAAAAAACCAAAAATAGATTTCGAAGTAAAAAAGAATCGAACTATGTCATCTAGAAGTAACGAACCATGGGCCTTCAGCCTCTAGCATGCTAATTTTATAGTGACCAACACGGTTCGTAAAGTCTTAAGTTACTTACTTAACCACCCGTTGACATAGAGCTTTACAAGCTATGTTGTAGTTCAGAAAACAAAAAGGGGAGGAAGGAAGACCTGGAAGATGCGAAATATACTACCAGCCGTTGACGCTACAGAAAGACACTTCTGTTGTTGAAGAAACTTCATACACATCGCCAGCCCTTTGTTTCGTTTCCACAGAAACGAAACGAAAAAATTTCGGCTTAAGGGTGGGGTATCAAAATGAAGTTTGTAATTGAGATTATTATATGGCTATGTCTCACAAGGACTGGGAACTACCGAATTCACGAATTTGATTGGCTGACTGATCAATATTGAAAGCGTTCTAGATTTTCCTAACTAGACCGGCATCTAGACCGGTCTAGAAAAAAAGGTACAAAGAATATAGAAAATTGGCATATAAGACACAGCCATATAATAAACATCTTTTAACCGAGCTAAGTCGGTCTGTATGGGAGAATCTTGACCTCGGTTGCGGTACACACCTCACTGCGTTCGGTCTGTACTGGCGACCTCGGTCAAGATTCTCTCATACAGACCTCCCACTCGGTTAATAAGAACTAAATATACACGACCTCGAGTTGGAAAAACAAAACCGTAAATACACCATCTTTGAAGATCGCAAAAAAAACAAATACATGAAACGAGCATAATGCACAACAAAAATAACATTTTGGCGACTTAAAGATTTTGAATTAGATAGAAGCTAATTTTGGCGAAAATGCAGAGTTTCCTCTTTTCGCGTTAATTGGTAATGTAGACATGTTTGCGAAATTAAGCTGATCGTAAAGAATTGGTGAAGGTCACTCGGTAAAACCAGAGTGCAATCATTACTGAACGATAGAAGACTGTCGGGGTAAATAAGTTCCCAACATGAGAAAGCTCGTTAAATGCTGAAGAAGATTAACCCAAAGAAACATAGCAGTGTTATTCCGTGATTAGAAATGATATTCGTGGAAAGGTTAATATCAAAAGGACTTACAATTATTATTCCAAAAACGAAACATTACTTTTTTTCGTTATAGCTATTAATTAAACAAGTTGAACATAATGAGCCCCAGGTTCAGAGCCACCCTTTGAAACAAATTACGCAAAAATTAATTGTTTTCTCCGAACCAATCCCTGATCCAAGTGTGCTCTAAACCGTGACCACAAACTTCCGCTTTTTGGAGAACGGTCTGTGCTCATGCTCAGTACCGTGACGAGAGTCTTGTTTTATTTCATGGGACGTCATGGCTGCAAGTAGGAACTTTTTAGACGATATAAGGAAGGAGTTAGAATGCCCTGTGTGCCAGGAACAATTCAGTGAACAAAGTGAACCGAAAATTCTCAAATGTCAGCACACGTTCTGTCAATCCTGTCTCAACGACTGGCTACGAAAGCATGGTGGAGGAAGGTTGAGCTGCCCAAACTGTCGAGTGATTACCGAATGTCCTGACAACAATATTGACTGCTTACCGACCAACCTTACATGTAGGAATCTAGGAGATATCTTAAAAGCTCATGGTGGCTCAAATAACGGTGACTGTAAAGATATCAGATCACAGGAAGAGAACATTTGTAAGCGCCATAAAAAGAATCTCGAACATTACTGCGAGCAGTGCCAGATTTGCATATGCTCTGACTGCGTCATTGTTGAACATCGTGATGCGAACACTCACAAAATCGTGTCTGTAGAAGATAGAGCGAAGATACAAGGAGCACTTATCACAGAAAAACTAAGATCCGTTGATGCGAATACTTCTCAATTGAGGAGTGATATTGCTACGTTGGTAGAGAGGAGAGAGAAATTTAACAACAACATAGATCAAGCGACGAAAGTGGTCCGTAAGGTAGCTGACAGCTATTTAAATATAATTCGCCAGCATGAAACAAGCGTGACGGAAAATTTGGCGAGGGAGAGATCGCTTTATAATGATGTTGTTTCCCAGGAGTTGTCGAAACTCACCGAGAAACTAGAAAAAATGGCTGATGTTGCGATCCGTGGTAGAGCGATTCTTGAAAACCATAACATAGAGGAAATGATAAGCGTCGAACAAATTCTCGATGAACTGATTTCAGAGAAAGTTTCAACATTGCCTGGCTATCCAAACCTAAATACATCCCAAATGCAGTCCCTCGGAATTTCACCACAGGAAAGTTGTATATAAGTCAAACAGAACCTTCTTTGAGTGTTGTTACTGGTGAAGGCCTGACAACGGGTATTCAATGGCAGGAAGCTAATTTTATAGTAACAACAAAGGATGCAAAGGGCCTGACAACTTACAGTGAAATTGACAAGGTCGCTGTTGAGGTTACATCTGTACGGAAGGGAATCAAAAACATTCCAGTTGTTATAAAGGACTTGAAAGACGGTCGCTATTCTGTGTCCTACACACCGAATGCTTCTGGCGAATTCGGGGTCTCAATCAAAGTACGAGATGAACTAATCCGAGAGAGTCCCTTTGAACTGTTCATTCACAAAAGTCTGAAGCCTAAAGTCTTTAAAGGAGCTAAATGTCAAGATAAGACAGAACGATAATGTAATAATGAATTATTAACTTCAAAAGTGAATTTTAGCCTGCTTCAGGCCATACTGAAGATGTCGATCTACTACCTTTTGCTGTTCCGGAGAAATGAGGCCCAGTTCGGACGTCATTGCTCCTGCCGTGTCAAACTCAATCCAAAAACCAAAGTAAACAAAAGTATGGCAGAAGCACGGTGTCTGAATTAAACTTTTTTATTAAGTTCAGCAAGCAGTTAAGTTCGACAAGCTCTACCTTGCTACACGACTCTGGTGCGACAGCGATTCAAACGTCATGCCTTCACCGAGCCAAACAAAATTCATAAATTATGTTAATGTATCTTGGTGGGATTGCGGTTTTCGGAGAATGAATTGTTACTTTGCTTAAGTAAATCCTTGATTTCGTACGACTTTAGCCCGATGTACGATTCAGAGTAGTGTTTCTGCCGTGCAGAAGCAGAAGCGAGGCGTCTGAACCGGGCCTGAATTACACTTTCTACCCATTTTCGTTCATGTACGTTCCCAAGATTTCGAAGTTAAAAAGATCCTAAAAGAAGAATGTCATGGAGGCTTTTGGATTAAGGCTGGGATGCTGAGTTGCCTCTATTTATCTTTAGGCCCACAGTTACCTTTTGCAGAACAGGGCTAAAAAACGGGGCAACAAAATGGCCGCACTGAACAATCCAAACTTTGATTTTTGTTTTTTAGATTTTTAGTCTTGACTTTCAGCGAAGAAACGAATTTTTAAGCGCGATGATATGGATCTTTTTTTGTTAGGCCTTCAATAATACTTTAATAATAATTTTTTGTCTTTCGCGATCGATGGGATGCACAGATGAGGTCGTAGGATGTATTTCGCATACTAAAATAAAAATACTAGAAAGCGAAACAATAGTGGCTCTTTGCTCGTATTTATTTCGCCCCTTTCACCATCACCAGAAATCGGGGACATTTCGAGCCCGTTACGAAATGTCAGTGGTACATCGTATAACAGACAATTCCATATGGCGGCGGTGGAAGTGCAGTGAACACTTAACTTTCTATTTTCGTAAAGCCCCACCAGAGAAAGGTCTGGTACCTTTCTATGCCAGAAATCCATGGGAGACGTTAAAACAAGGAAAATGGCAGCCAAATTGTGCAGTTACTTGGATTTGTATCATTCGTGTTCTTCCTTCCTAAAATTGGGGTATTTAAAATTGGCGTATTTGGCTTTTGAGCTCTGTAAAAATACGATGAGTTTCCCGGCTCGAGAAAAATTTGTGGGCTAACATATTAGACCGTTTACGAGCGATTTAGTTGAGCAAACTTCTGCAGAATTCATATCGATCTACGCAGTTGCGAATCTTCACAAGGTTGTTCTCACGACAAAAGAACTGTAACACCAAGTCGACGCAGATTTTAAGAGTTTGTATGGGAAAATGGAGTCAGAATTATGAGTTTGCTCGTATACCTTGGAAAAAGGTAGGCTTGAATTTGAATATTTCTTTTTCGTAGCGATGGACGCTTTCACCGACGCAGGCTGCATTTCCAAGTACGCAGCGAACGAATATCCCATTCTTAGACAGCTATTTTCAAAAAACAATCTTTTCCCATACATTTTCTTATGCTGTTTCGGCGCCATTTTGCTTGTAACACGAGAACCGCCTCTGCCACATTGTCCCAAATTTCTGGCAAGGACAGCTCGCAAAATATCTGTCCTTGTTATCTGCTAAACCATCGCATAAGGTGAATATGATGCGCGTGTTACATCGGACACAGGCCAAAATACCATAATGAATATCGTTAATGATGATAATAATAATAATAATATTAAAGATAATAATGCTATTAGTGATATTTTCTGATAATGATAATCATAACACAATATAGCTATAGTAGTTACCATAACAAGGATATGCGTTATTGAGCAAGCGTGAGGTCAAGATGGCTGTAAATAGGCCGGGTTCTTTTCTGCGTTTTTTATGACTTGAGATGAAGTCGAGGTTCATTAAAACGCCAAGAGAACGAAGCTATTATCCATCCATCTTGACCGAAAAAGCTTGTTGAATAAAGGATTTAGTATCAAGTAAAAAGGTTTCGCTCTAATAAGGATCAAGAATGACTTTTTATTTCGAGAGCCGGGCATGAAAGCCGTCTGTGTTTGTAGAACAATAAACCCACTAGGGTCGTTTATATTTTCTTGTGTTTTGACTGTCTTCTGCCGCTTTTTGCGACTTCATCGCTGGCATTGTTATAATCTCTTTTCGTTACATTTTGGGGGACTTCAATCAAGGTGCTGGAAGGATTCCTACAGCACCTACCACTATGGCAGAGATGACCGACCACTAAAAGTCAGTCAAATCACAGCTGGAACGTTTGAGCGTCGAAAAGTTGGCGAGAACTGTTGTGGTATCAAACATACCGAGACAAATTAAAAAAGATGAAATACAGATATATTTCCAGAAAAGTAAAAACGGCGGTGGAGAAGTCGATGATATTTGGATGACAAAGGATGGACAAACAGTCATTGTCTTTGAAAACCCTGAAGGTACGACAAGTTTCATAACGTCTACTCCATATTTATTACAAATTTCGGAAACTTTTCGCGGAAATTTGACCTGTGTTTTAATCGGGGAAAATCCCTCTCAGTTGACATATTTCTTATGCAGCTGTATACATTTCGTTTTCTTATCTGCTTGAATTCGTAAGGGTGCAGAAGCAGAGCTGTTGGTCTCGAGTACTTGATGTAGTGTTAAGCAACAGCGAAATTTATTTCTTGAGTGGTAATTGCATATCACCTCCAATCAGTGGGGAGCTAGTCTCTGCTTTTTAAAAAGATAAGAAAAAACTTTATGAGGGATAGGAGACATTATCTGGAGTGAAAGGGAGACCTTGAGCAATGAGCTCTCGAAAAGTGCTAGTTTCTAAGACTCAGACCTCGAACTTTTTATCAGCTAAGCTTAACTTGGCAAGAAGCAATCTAGTAACTAGTCCAAAAAAAGTGCGCGTTTTGACTTAGACGCCGATCATAATGACGCTTTATAGCCGTTTCCGTGGGATATTTCATAGCCTCTTGTATCATTCTAAAATTAAACTCCAGACAATGAAATATTATCATAATTTTTTTTCTTCGTCATCAGTGCCTGACAGGATATTAGAGCGCACTCATGTATTTCGGGGTAAAGTGGTGGATGTTAGACCAAGCCACGCCCGAAAGGTATTATTTCTACTGAACTGATTCGAAGATAGTGAGTTGACTAGAACATTAACTTGTTAATGTTTATTATTCCTTTACTGAGACTGAAATTCGCTTGTAAAGCCTTCGTTTAGACGGTTCTTCTCCATTGCCCACTTCCCTATTTAACTTAGCAAACTAAAAAATGGAGCGACTGGCTCTTTAGATAGCGCACAGCCTCTACATGCCAACAATGAAGTATGGCCACTGACAAGGAAACTCTTTTTTACAGAATCTTTATTTTCTATTCACTAGTCTTCTCTTTTTTATATTTTCTATCCCCTTGTGCTTCGCGTTATGAGAATTCTTAGTCCTTTCGTGGTTTAGTTGGAGCGTTTATCAATAGAAGAAAGAGCAAAGAAAATAACCATAGAGGTCACTTGATCAGTCTAACCTTACATTCATAGCTTCAAGCGCTCTGTGTGGATCTAAACTGATCTATACTGGTATGATCTCCTGTAATTAGGTTCAGACATAATTATCATAATTATCGAACTGCGTCTACATCAAGAGCACATATCGGTCCTACCTCTAAGCGGGCAGCAGTGCTTGGTAAAAGTAGTTAAACCATTTTATTATTGCTTTTGTCAATTTCTAGCAATTCAAGGAAGACTATAAGGAGAGAGTTGAAGCGTGCATCCTCGAAGTTGAACCAAATTTCATGAGATTATTAAGAAGGGTACACAAGGAAAAGCTTGAACAAATAGAAAGGGATTACCACTTACGGATAGTTTGGCCTGAAAATGAGGCTCGAGTAGAGATCAAACCTACACCTCTAACCGAAGAAACACACTATCAAGAAGGGTGCGATGCTTTCATTGATTTGTACCAAACCATCAACCATACAATGAAGCGACAGGTGATTGATGTAAAAGACATTCACGATGATGGAAAAATCAAGAAGACTGCTTTCTTGGGAAGCTCACATCCCGTTGTCATTGAGAAAGTAGAAGGTCAGTTAATCGTTTACAGCGAAGAACGTCATCTTAAGAGCTCACTACGGACTCTAAAAAAAGCGCTCGGACTGTCAAAAAGCAATGGTGACAACCCTAGGCGTGGTCAAAAAAATATAAGTCGTTTGCCTCACCGTCATGAACCGCCATTACATAAGATCCTTCAACAAATGTTAACGTAGTATTATCCTTGTAGTAATATCCTTGTATCAGGGGGACATAACCGATGAGAATGCCGATGCCATTGTCAACCCAGCTAGCCCATGGCCTCAGCATTCTCATAGGGTGGCTAGAGCAATTGTGGAAAAAAGAGCTCGAGGATGTCAAATAATAGAAGATTCTTGGTATATTATGTCTCATCGTTCTCCTCTACAACCCGGTGAAGCTGTTTAAACCCTAAGTGGGCATATAGCTTGTCAATTCATAATCCACACATTCAAGGCCAGACTGGTCAGCCTATGCAGATAAAAGCGTCACTGTGACAGTTCTTCGACTGGCATGCATAGGATGTCTCCGACTTGCTGTGCAACTTCGACTTTCTTCTGTAGCCCTTCGAGCCATAATCTCAGGCAATTATGGTATGCCAAAAGAAGCCTGTGCTGGCGCAATTTTTCGAGCGATTGACGAGTTTAGCCCAAGTATAGACGTACAATGTAGCACTCTCCGTGACATACGTGTCGTTATCATCGATGCAGAAACCACTGAGGTCTTCAGTAGTGAATTTATTAATCGTTACTACTCGAAACAAGATTCGCAAAATCAAATGGGACTTCAGAGACGTCCATCCAATGAAGAAGCAGAGAGCCCATTTTGTACTAACCTATCGAAGAAAAGGTGACCCGAGGATTGATGACGAGTTACTTGATGATGATAGAAGGTTTATTAAAAAGTATTCAAAAATGGCACCCAAGTGGTGAAATACATGTGAATTTACAAGTATGCTTTAAATATTTAAAAAATACGAAAATCTTACATTTGACTTTAAAATTAAGAGTCTAAAGGGACTGGGAATTACAAGAATCGGCAGTTACATACCAATGAAAAACGCTTAGGTTTGCTTGACTACAAGAACTGGGCGTTAGACGCCATTGTTGGAAAGAAAGATTTTTTAAATCTTTCGGTCCGGCATTTAAAGAGTGATACATGGTTTTTGTTGCGCAACTCATAAACGTGGCAATCGGCGCGCTTTGGTGGAATAAGGTGGTACAGCCGTGACCCAGGCACACAGATACCGCCCCAAACTTTCTTGCAGAGTTCGTCTCTTCTCACATTTAGGCGAGTGGAGTTTGCAGCCACAATGGCGTCTTTGTAGCTCAGCGCCGGAAATAATATACGCAGAGCTCTTTTCTGAACTCTTTCGATCATGTCCTTGAGGTAAATTGGTAGGCTAGTAGACCAAGTGACGCAGGCGTATTCGAGGACCGATCGTACCAAGGCATAAAATATGTTAATAAGGTCTTCGGGTGGAATTCCGGACCGCTTGAGCACTCTTAAGATGTAAAGACGTTTTGAGGCTTTGGAGACAATCTCACGCACGTGCTCATTCCACCCAAGAGTGTCGCTGATAGTGACTCCAAGGACCTTGTGTGAGGAGACCCGTTCTAAGGGACGTCCGTTGACGCACAAAGGGCCAAGATCTGGCCGTGTTCTAAGCGAACTAAT